ATTTTCCTCGTATTATTTCTGAACACATAATATGTATAAGACAAGTTTGTACAATATGTAGTTGTAGTTTTTGCATCTTTTCTGCAAAGATATTTAACAAGTGATTTGTTTAACATTTACATCATGTTAACAACCTCATGTGTGCTGCACTTGGAATAGAATTTTCTTTAACTAGAGGGTTAATAAAGAAAAAGTAACTTGAATCATGTTGTAGTAGTTACATTTTCAAGTTGACTAGTTAAAAATCGAGAATCGGTCAAACATTCTGGAAAAATCGAGATTTAAATTTCAGCCCTAGGTGACAAACGCAACAATTTAATTCTAGAATCAAAGAATGTTCTCTAAAAGAACTAGAACGAGTTAAAGTTGCAGTATGGTGAATAATATAATAGCTGAAGGACGTTGCTCATTGTGTTCAGCTATGACTACATTCACAATATAATACGGCTGTATGTATAAAGCACAATTGATGATTTTCATCAGTTTCAATGTGGCTTATCTGGTCTGATTTGTTTGTAAGAAGTATCTTTACTGATGTAGTTTGCAGCAGCGCCTCCTTCAAGTATTTGTGTTGAATGGAGAGGCCATGAAAACATTTTATATTCCTCCATCTGCACTTTCTGTTGTGGCCTGTCCTTGAATGAGAAGTGCTATGTTTCCTTAAGCACAATTCTGCCTTATTCACAAAGCTTTTCAGACATTGAAATATTGAGCTGTGGGTTTATTCCTTAGCAGAATGACAGATAGACAGATTTATATGTGCTTAAAGAGAAAAACAGGAATTATGATTGTTGGTTACATTTAAGCTGTATTTATTTGTATTTGATTCTGTTGTTGAATTTCATGTGAATGTAGTTTAGTTATTCAAACACCACTGTTACTATAGTTATATTTGTTGTTAGTACATTAAATATACATTTACCGAAGGCAAATATAATATTATGTAAAGATATTAACTTTAAGGTCAGGATTGTTTTGTTTTGTTTTTTTGTTTTGTTTTTTTGTGTTTGTTTTGTTTTGTTTTTTGTGTTTTTTGTTTTGTTTTGTGTTTTTTGTTTTGTTTTGTTTTGTCTGAGCCAGGGTTATTATAGTCAACTAAAACTAAAATTCTATATATATTTCAAATGTAAACTTAAAACCTTAAACTTATTTTAATTCATCTAGTTTCCATTAAAACATTTCTCATTTTCATGCAGTTTAACTTGATGCACTAAAAAACTACAACTAAAACTGAAAAAAAAAAATATATATATAGACATATTTAAAAAATAAAATGACAAAAATATTTAAATTGAATCACTTAGTTACCATTCAGAACACCTTAGCAACCACATATCAAAGCCCTAGCAATGATCTTGAACATCCTAGCTTGAGGTAAACTCCACTAAAAATGAAGTTTTGTTTTTGTTATTTCGAGATACAAGATATGTTCTGTCACGGACAATGCATGTGTTTATTTATTTATTTTATTTTATTTAACTAGCATCGCGTGTCATTTGGTTTCCAAACAAAAGAAACAAAGCCTTCAGGAAACTAATGACATTTAGTTTGTGCATAAACAAAGGTGTTATATTTATACACAAGAACTTTAATATAGAACCAGCAGAGTCACTGTGTACTTTTCCAGCCGCTCTCATTGTACAAATGTTGATGCTGGTGTTACCTTCAGGGTTCTCATTGTGCGAGAGATACAGGCGTCATTTCAGATGTCCAAAACTTGCTCAGAAGTGCTGCCAACATTAGATTAAATAGAGCTTAATCGTTCCTGAATCCACTGTCCTGGTCACTCCGGTCTGGGCTGCTCCGGAGGGGTTGTTACGTGAAATTCGTGAACCATAAAGTCAATTTGTTACCAACTTTTCATGCAAAGTCCCATTTGATTAAACAAACAGACATGATTTTCCCATGGAATTGCATGCATCCCTGTGTTTTAATACTGATTTCTGTCTTGTAGCCTGGTTGGGAGTTTTTGGAGCCTCATGAATTATGCAGTCCTCACCATCCTCACCAGCTGCCTGCGCTGCCCCCTGGCTGGGAGGAGAGGCAGGACAACCTGGGACGAACCTACTATGTCAACCACGAGAGCAGGACCACCCAATGGCACAGACCCACCATCCAGTAATGATCACCCACTTTAAACAAACATTAGAAACATGCATACACAAAACCAGTAACATACACAAGACCAACACGCCATGTAAATATTTGCCTTTATCTTTTGAGTTCATTTCATTTGGCACATGGTTCTATTCAAAGTGACTAAAAGATTTTAAATAAAATAAGAGTTTTTTTTACATTTTATTTTAAAATCAAAGATAAGCTTTAAAAACCGTTTTGTTTTTATTTGTTATTTTATATAGTTTATTTATTTATTCTTGCTTTCATTTATTCATTAATTTATTCATTCTATTTTTCACTTGTTTTTTTGTTTGCCATGAATATAGCGGTGGAAACTGGCATGGCACTAAATTATAAATCAATCATATTTAAAATGTTGCTAGAGTCATGTCTGACCATCTGAATTACAGTTTACTATAATTGCTGTTAAATCTGTTTTTAGCACATCAAATATATATATTGCACTTTGACTGAGAAACAAAAAGCCATTAAGACTTTACCAGTATTTTTTGTTTTATTTTATTATTTATTTTTATTTAGTTCTGTTTTTTATATATATATAATTTTGTCTTTGTTTTTAGTATTTTGTTTTGTTTTTTTAATTGGTTTTATTTTTATTAAATTTTTCTCTTTTTTTTTTTTTTGCTTTTACTTTGTGTACATATAATGTTTTTTGTTTAATAGGTTTTTTTAGTTATTTATTTTGTCTTTATTTTTAGTGTTTATTTTGTTTTGTCAATATATTTGATTTCATTTGGTCTTATTTTTAGTATTAAAAATAAATTAAAAAATTTTCTCTTTCACTATGTATATATAATATATAATTTTATAATATAATTTTTAAAAATCATATTAAAAAAATCATAAAAAGGTAAGGAGTTTTCACAACCAGGTTACAAATGCATCATTTAGAGCATCTAAATAAAGTAGTTGTTTTTTTTTTGTTTTTTTTGTGGTATCATTGTAGAGTTAAATTTTTTGTCTTTATTTGTTTTTAGATTGATTTTATTTTATCTTTATTCATTTGTATTTAATTTAATTTTTAGTTTTATTTTATTTTTATTTTTTCTTTCACTCTGTATTACATTATTAAAAGTTGTCACATTATTATATTAAGGGTATTTTGTAAAAATCATAAAAAAAGGTCAGGAGTTTTCATAACCAGGGTATAAACAAGTCATTTTGGGCCTCTAAATACAGGTTTTTGTGACATCATGTATTTGTTTTCTATAGATTTTAAGGAAAAAATCATCAGGTCATTACTCCCTACACAAAACTCTACTGAAGTCAAATATTTTGTAATAGCTAAGACAGGATGCTTGTTTCCTTCCTCTGCTCTCTGCTGGTCAGCGGTGCCCTCACCTGCTTCATTTGAGTCTTTCTGGGTCATTTTGAGCACTGAAGTGTGTGTGTTTTGTCCTGATTTACAGGGACAGTCAAAGAGACAATGAACAGAGACAGGATACACACAGCGAGTCCCAGCGGGCGTTCCTCACACGCAGACAAATATCTGAACATGGCGAGAACCACGAGCGCAGAGAGTCACCTGAGGTACTATAAAATGTATCAGTTTCCACAAAAATATGAAGTACCACAACTGTTTTCAACATTGATAAAAATCTGAAATGTTTCTTGAGCAGCAAATCAGCATATTAGAATGATTTCTGAAGGAATGATGCTGAAAATTCAGCTTTGAATCTAAAAAATAAATTAAAGTTTAACATATATTCACATAGAGAACACTTATTTTAAATTACAATAATATTTCACTTTTTTTAGTGTATTTTTGATCAAATAAATGCAGCCTTGAAGAGACTTGCTTTCAAGAAAAAAAAAATCTTACCAACCCCAAACTTTTGAACAGCAGTGTAAGTGACAAGCAATTCAAATCAAAGTCATTCTAATGATCTACAGCAAATCACGTTTTCTAACTTCTTGCAGACATTTATGCAAGATCCCAAATGTAAATGTGGTGACATATAAGGAATATTCCTCACATTAAGCCATTGATACAAAAATCACAATGCGTATTGATGTTTTTGTGACAGATTCAGGAGACTGATTCATATGAGTCATGTTGCTCCAAGTGATACATTGACTATATGCATAATTTAGAATGACCTCAAGTGCCTTATTGCCAAGTTTTGTGCTTCCACTAGTATATCTGATATTTAAATTAAGATTGATAGTTGACCTCTATGAGTTCTGCGCAGTGATATACACAGTTTTTTTTAATTTTAGCAAAGCAATGTATTGACCAATCAACATCCAGAACCAAAACATTCCGTTTCGTGAAATGGAACATGAATATGTTGCAGCTTGTTACATTGTAATATTTAAAGCTGGTGTTACAGTAACAATATAAACAATATGTAACAGGGAGCCTTGTGTTTTCATCAGCCGCAGGGTCACGGCAGCCGCAGAGGAAGTGGTCAGACCCTAACGGTGGAAGAGCATCCTGTTCACCCCGTGGTGAGAGCATTCATACATATACTGTATCTGTCCGTGTGAGTCCAGACCGAGCCCTCGCCGTGTGCTCTAGTTTCAGCAGAATGTGGAGTGTTTTTCTTAGTCTCTCAGCGCATGATGTGTAATCTTAGCTGCCCCAGATTTCCCAGCATGCCCTGAACCTCGCAATACATCACCTCAGCTGCGGCTCCGCTCACATCTGCTCCCAGAGGACAGTGTGTTTGAGAGCCGAGCCACTAACTGATGGCTATTTGTGAACCAAACGGACGATCTGTAATGGATTGTTTCCATTTTTTGCTCTCCTCGTTTCACCCCTCTGCATTTTCGTTTCGTTACTCACTTTGTGGTTTTCTGTTCTTCCCTGTAGTTATTACCCACGTCTGCCGGGCTGCCTCCGGGATGGGAGGAGAAGCAGGACAGTAAAGGGAGAATTTATTATGTCAATCACAACAGCAGGATGACTACCTGGACACGACCGCTCATTCAGGTACATCTCAGTCCTGGTTGAAAAGATCTTGCTCTAGAGAAAGCTCTATCAGCGTTTGGTGTAGTGCTGTACGGTTTGAGGAAAAAAAAAAATAACAATTATTTTTTTTTTTTTTTTTAGTGGTGAAATCGCAAGTTGTGATATAAAATTTTATGGGCTGAACAATTAATTTGTTGGCCTGCACAATATAATAATAACAACAACAACAACCAAATGTATTTATTATTATTATTATTATTATATAGTCATACTGATATATAAATCATACTTTTTCAGCCAAGTAATAACAATAATAATAATAATTGTTTTTGTTATTATTATTATTATTATTATCATTGAGCTACATGTTTGCTGTGCTTATTTGTACAGCCGCACAATTTATTATTTTATAATATATATAATAAAATAATATTATATATATAATTCTTTTTTTAACAATAATTGTACAACAGTTTTAACTAACAATAACTGTTATTATTACTATTACAAAAAAAAAATTTAAATAAGAAATGTTACTATTGTAATATTTCACTGTAAAATTAAATAAAATTGAGTATACAAGAAAAATCATTTAATAATCATCATCATCATAATATTTTTATTTTACAGTCCAACTTTTTGTGGCTTTCTTAAATTTCTTAATTTTCAAACATTAAACCATCATGCAGTCCTAATTTGTGGCAGAATACCAGCTCATCCCTCAGACCCCTGACCTTTGACCTGTGTATTTCAGCTCATACAGCCGCCCTCTGAGGCCGCAGCAGCGGTGGCGGGTGCTGCCTTGAATCCCACAGTCTACGCTCCGCCGCTGCTCTCCCCGGATGTGTCCCCTCAGCACACACTCTCTCACTCGCCGGAGCACACGGGCCTGATGCCGGCCGGCTGGGAGGTGCGCAGCGCTCCGAATGGACGGTCCTTCTTCATAGACCACAACACTAAGACCACCACATGGGTAAGACAAGACATGATGCTGCATCATGGTAATGCCATGGTATATGACTAGTGTTTGTTTTGCTTTTCCTGTGCATGTTTTGATTGCACCATTGTTCACGCTGAGATGTACTTCCTGTATTTGCCATCCTGTTTCCTGTTCCGTCACAGGACAACCCCCGGCTGAAGGTTCCTGTGCACATGAGGAGAAGAGTCTCCCTTGACCCCACTGACCTCGGCCCACTGCCGGTAAGACGGGTGATGTCATCGCTGATGTCATAATCAGATGATGAGGTCATGATTTTAATGACATGCTGTTCAGGACAGAGGGTGAAAAGGTGTGTGTGTGTGTGTGTGTGTGTGTGTGTGTGTTGTTAAGCTATGTTTTATCTTCTGCGCATGTGCGAAGAACACCATTTATGGGTTAGTTCAGTTCAGTCCTGTATACGGAGCTGCTGTGGTTGAACGTGATGATGCAGTAAAGAATGTTATTGCTAAGAACAGCTGTGGTTATGGAGTCAACATGTGTGTTTGTTCTGTAGCCTGGTTGGGAGGAGCGAGTACATGGTGACGGCAGAATCTTCTACATCGATCACAGTAAGTGGCACATTAATAACCATGCCAATCTAAAAAACTTCTAGGATTCTGTACAATTCTTCTAGGGATCATATGTAATTTTTTTTTATTATTTAATATAATATTTTTACGAATATTTTATATTATATTTATAAACTTTTTTTTTTTACCATTTTATTTTTTACTAATTATTTGTTTATTTATTATTTATTTACATTTTTTTAAATGTTTCTAAAAATGTATTTATAACTTATTTTACAAATTGTTATTATTATTATTACGGAGCCCCGCACATGGCATGCAGGAAAAAAATTGTAGGCTAAATCATGCACACGATTTATAAATCAAGAGAACGAATTAGTAAATCGTGCGCACGATTTATTTATTTTTTCTTGCATGTCGTGTGCGGGGCTCTGTATATTATTATTATATTTATTTGCATTTTTTGTGCAATATTTTTTTTTAAATGTGTTGTTATATTTTAAAACTTTATAACCATTATTTAATTTTATTTATACCTTTTATATTCTCTTTTTTTTTTTTTTTGGTACCAATTTTAATTAAATGTTTTGTTTTGTTTTTTTAGAAACAAAAGCCACACAGTGGGAGGATCCAAGACTACAGAGTTCAGCCATCACTGGTCCAGTAAGTGGTGTTCTGTTTCTGTTAAAGGTCCTGTACGGTCAGGCATTGAAGGCCAAGTCGGCAGAAACGGGCATTAATGGATCATATTGAGAGAGACTGCTGAAGCGCACCGTGATCTTTGCCATATCTTGTTCTGAAAGTATTCTGAGCCTGAAACCCTGTACATTTCTTCCCAATGGTTTCCTGTAAGGGGTTTGTGCGTATCACGAGGGGAGGTTATATTTGTCCAGGATGAGTTGAATGATCTCTGTCGGGTCAGGAGCACTCAACATCTGAGCAGATAAGAACTCATGGATTATTGGTGAACTGATTGTGTTCTGCTTTATTTCAGGCCGTGCCTTACTCCAGAGACTATAAACAGAAATATGATTACTTCCGCAAGAAACTCAAGAAACCAGTACGTCACTCTCCTTCTTGAGCTTTGTGGTTTTTCCCGTCCCATTAACATCTTTGGTGTTTATCAAAGAATTTATCAGAATTTTTAACCCAGTTTGTTCAAGTCACTACAGATATAATAATAATACATTTATTTATTTATTTAGATGGTTTGCTGTGCTTGTTTGTATGGCCACACAATTTGGCCAAATTTATTATTATTATTATTATTACTACTATTACTACTACTACTAAATTATTCTGATTATTGTTATTATTATTACTAAATAAAATATACAAAATATTACTGATTGATGAATAAATATTATAAATATTACTAAATAAAGTATACAAAATAAAGTGTTATTATTGTAATATTTCACTGTAAATAAAATAAAAGTGAATATTTATAATAATAATAATAATATAAAATATTAATCATTATTTAACAGTCAGACTTTTTGTCTTTCCTAAACCACACAGTTATCACACTGAATGTAGTTTTAAGATTGTGTCGTTTTAAGATGGTATAAATCAACTGAATGAGTTGAATTGTGAATGTTTTTGAAGTGTTGAATGTTTATCAGTCATATTCACCTTTTTTCAGTAGTGCCATATAGACTTGTTTTCATGACTTCAAAGGCAACATGAAATCAAAAAGTGATTTTTCTGGTCTTATTTTTCAGGTGATCAGTGCACATTATTTTAAAAGCATAAATTGTTGGTTTTTATAATCTTCATGAAAAAAATTTAAAACTATTCTTGCCTCTGAATCCGCTTTTCTTCTGTGTGGGCTGGGAAAATATATTAACTAATAATAATTTGATCATCTAATATGTATGATCCAGTCAACTAAATATAAAATCAAAATCATTATTTTCTTGGGTCTCCAGGCTGACATCCCGAACCGCTTTGAGCTGAATGTGAGACGTAACGCTCTTCTGGAGGACTCGTACCGGCGCATTCTGTCCGTCAAACGCTCGGACCTGCTAAAGGCCCGCCTCTGGGTGGAGTTTGAGGGGGAGAAGGGGCTGGACTATGGGGGTGTGGCCAGGGAATGGTTCTTCCTGATCTCCAAGGAAATGTTCAACCCATATTATGGGCTGTTTGAGTATTCTGCCACGTGAGTGATCCAGCTTTATATTTCCTTCAGTCAAATTGTGTCTTTAAATACACTCTTGTGTGTTGTGCTGGCTAAGAACTAGGGCTGTCAAAAAAAATTCGAATTTCGAATATTCGTCAAATTTAAAATATAAATCCACATTCGAATGCAAAAACGTTGCATTCGAATTTTAGGTGTGCGTCAGGCAGCCTTATCAGTGGCGCACGAGATGCGATGACGATGTAAGTGTCATTGAATTTTAATGCTTTTTTTAGCTTATCCAGTTGAAGCCACTAGATGCGGCGCTGCTACGTTGTTCATTCAAAATATTGCGGGAAAAGGGAACATCAATGCGGAGAAGATGTTGTTTACGGCAAAACTTAAACTAAGTCGTTCACACAGAACGCATATTTATCGCATTTTCTAGAGGGACGTCTATCAGCGTTGCACTCGCGTCTCGCACAAGAGAGCGGCATGTTTAGAAAGCCATGTAAAATTAAAGTAAGTTCAACTTTTATAAATCATGTCTCAAGACTTTATGGCGATTTTTATCCATCCCATTGCATCTCATGTTTTTAAATGAAGAAAGTACTCGTTGTGATTGCTTTTCGGTCCTTTGTATTAAACTATACATACATGCATGATGCTGTTTTGTTTCTAATTGTTTAAGCAACTTAATTAATTATATATGGTTTATTAAACATTATTTTAAACATTATGCACTTTTTTAAAAGTTTTTTTTTTTTAAATAACAGTCATGTTATTTTATTGCTTTGAAGAAACGTGCATTAGTAATATTTTGCTCGATGCGCCCTCTTGTGGCCTCAGGAGAGAAGCCAAAAGCTTTTCTTCACCCTGACTGAAATTATGCATTAATTTAGTT